GTCATGCACTGTCCCGCCCTGAGCTGTACCTGCACCCCTCGGTCAACTTCTGACTCCCACTCCAAACCATAAGCTCTTGCCTTTTTTTTTTTTTTTTTCTTCTTTTCTGCCTATTCATGGGTTTTGGGGAGATTTGGAATGAGTTTGGTTGTGCTTGCCATGTTTGCTTGTGGATCAGAGGGGTGTACGAAGGAAACGGCCTTCCAGAGCCACGGAGCGCGACATTAGAGTCTGCACGGCAAGGTTAGACTTGTAGGCTATTCTCAAAAACTTAACTTTAGACTTAATATGTCTAAACTATGTCTAAATATGTCCTAATCTGTCTAAAATACATCGCTAAGTCACATATCATAACATAGGCCTAGACAGAATATTGTGTGTAACGCTGCTGCTGGCAACAGAGGTGCGTTTTGTCCCGAAGGATACACAGGGCATTTGTGAAATAATTTGTTGTAGGTCAGAAAAAGCACTCCCAGTCCGACATGTGAAACCCCCGAGCCTGTAACAAAAGCTATGGGGAAATAACGGAAATCGGGGACGTTGCTCATGGCTCCTGCCTGCAGTGACAGAGAGTGAGCATCGGGGAGTTTTACCTCAAAGCTGCCCTTTGCCCAAACCCACAAGAGAGATGCAAACCCACAACTCCAGTTGCTGCTCCCCATTCCAGCTGATAGAATTCTTACCTGATGTTAATTTATAATTAAGTTTAAACTGAAATTGTGTGAGCCAGAATCGCATGAGCCCAGCGAGCACCGTGGCTGTTCCCAGCCATTGGCATCTCCTCCCAACTTCACTGTGTCCAAACTTTCATGCCGCTGTGAAGGGTGGGGAAGAAAATGAGACAAGAACGTAGGGTCTCCACTGACAGGAGAGAAACAAGTGTCCTGGGCCATCAGGTAACCAGGGAGCCACGGGGCAGCGTGGCCTTGGTGTGCAAATAGTCACCAAAGAGCAGATTTCTTTCCTGCTTGGAATACCAAGAGCCCGGGCACCCACAGGCGCCTGTCACCAGCTCTGCTCTCGTGAGCCAGCGTCGTTCATGGAATCCCCCAATCACTCAGGCTGGAAAAGCCCCTCGGGGTCAGCGAGTCCAACCCTCAGCCCGACTCCACAAAGCTCTCCCCTACCCCACATCCCCCACAGCTCATCCCAACGGCCCTGAAACCCCCCCAGGGATGGGGACTCCCCCCTCCCCGGGCAGCCTGTTCCACTCTCGGACCACTCTTGCTGGGAAACATTTTCTCCTCCTGCCCAGCCTGACCCTCCCCTGGGGCAGTTTCCAGCCGTTCCCTCTTGTCCTGTCCCTGATCCCCTGGGAGCAGAGCCCAGCCCCGGCCTCTCTGCAATGTCCTGTCAGGAGCTGCAGAGAGGGATGAGGGCTCCCCTCAGCCTCCTCCTCCTCACCCTGAACACTCCCAGCCCCTTCCCTGGCTCCTCGCAGGATTGATTCTCCAGCCCTTCCCCGGCCTCGTTGCCCTCCTCTGCCCTCGCTCCAGCCCCTCCAGATCTCTCTGGGGTTGAGGTGCCCAAACCTGGACACAGCCCTCCAGGTGTGGTACCCCCAGTGGTACACGGTAAGTGTGAATCACAAAGTCTAGCAGGACACCACGGTCTCCCTGAGGCTTTAAACTTTCCCCGTGCACACCCAACCCCACAAACCGCCAGCTCCTACCCCCCTCCATGTTCGCTGAGCCCCAGAATCCTGCAGCTCCCCTGTTCCTTAACATCCCGCCAGCCACCCAAACTCTCAGCACCCTGCCTTCACCCCCATCGCCCTGAGCTCTTGCCCCCAGACCTTCACAGCACCTAACCCCGGCCCGAAACCAGGAGGGGGGTGGCGATGGCGCGTACGAGCACCTCCTGCAGCGCACACGGCCAGCGCCAAGACTCTGCCGTTCCTCCCCCCACCTTCAACCCAGCTAAACAGATTTTTGGCAAAGTCACAGAATCCCAGAACCATCTAGGTTGGAAAAGACCTTGAAGACCATCTAGTCCAACCACAAAAGTCCTCACTGGGTGACCCGAAGCAGACGGAACTGAAGACTGCTGCAGCTAGCGCTGCCAGCACGGGCTCCCTCTCCCAGCTGGAGCTCCGAAAGCTGCGGCAGAGCAGCTGGAACTGCTCCTCAGCCCCCCCATTCTCTTGTGCAAGAGCCAGAGATAGGAAACTGTATTTGGAAATGCGTTTTTGAGAGAAGCAAGCCTGAATCTGGGTCAGTTTAACATGGGAATAGTAAGGACTGATTCACAAACCTTTCGCAGAGAGGGAGACAGCTTTCCCTTAATGCAAGAGCTCAGCGATCGTGAGAGGATCAGGCACAGGGTGACCCAAGTTCAGGCCCTTCCTCCCCCCGGCAAGACCTGGGCTCACAAGAGGGGGATCATCCACCCTCCCTCTGCAGCAGCCCCGCTCCTCCCTCCAGGAGCTGCTGCACTTCCCACAGGAACAGTCGCTGATAGTGAGGGCGAGAACACCCGTCCCGGGAGCTACAACCCTGCACAGGAGATGGGGCACTGGGGGTTCGGTTTCTGCTCCAGGAAGGGATGAGTAGGGTTACAGGTCCCAGGGAATGTTCAGTAGGTCGTTACAGGTCCCAGGGCATGCTGAGAAGGTCGTTAGAGGTCGGCAGCAGCACAGCAGACCGACTGCTCCTCCCCACAGGGAATGGCAAGAGGTGCGAGCCCAAAGCCCTGCCTGAGGAGGGGGGGCCTTTGGGTCCTTTTCTATCCCCGACAAGTGCCCTAGCTGAGGGGAGATGAGGACAACGCACCGCATTTTCCTTTCTCACGTTTGTGAGTCTAGCCTGTGCCTTTGGGGCTTTTGTAAATGCTTAAATCCAGTGAATCAAGAGACCAGCACACACATCTACGAATTAACAGGCTCCAAGCAGCCCCAGCAGCGGTGGTCTGGCACTTAGGGACATTCCCGGCTCTTAAGGACTACCAGTTTGTCTTCGGTCATTTAAAAACCAGCTTAAGTCCTGAATCCCTCCTGACACACCTGAACTACGGTCCCAGGGCTGCCCCCTGCGGTGGTGACCGCTCTACCTACATTGTATGGACATGGGAGACACGAGCTCTTCGTCCAAATCGTCCACGTCATCAGTCATGATGAAGTGCGAGGGGTTGGGGCGTGGGGTGCCCATCCAGCTGGGGTCAATGTTGAGGGCTGAGGCCAGGGTGTGGATGCCCGGGTTGTTGACGATCTGGAAGCCGCAGAGCAGCTCGATCTGCTGCCAGCGGTGCAGGCGCTCCCGCAGCGCGGCCGTCACCTCGCTCAGCGCTTGCCTGCGAGAGAGAGTGTAGGGGAGGAAGGAGAGAGCACACTGTCAATCGTGTACGTTTGCATGGGCAGGGAGTCTACTCTACAGGTGATACGCGAGATGTCTTTCCATTTTCAGGAATAGAGGAATTAAAAAAAAAAAACACCCAAACAACTGAAATATCCAGGAACAATCTCTGTAAGAATACTGCAGCCTCCTGAATCCTCATTTTGACAGGGTGTTCAACTGCTCTGCATAGCTGCGATTTCTTCTTTCACACAGATAAAATTAAGAAGTTATCGATTAAAAGGAGCAAGTCCAATCCCAGCTAACCAAAGCCAGGGAACAAAAGTTCACCAAGGAGAGACCAAGAGCACCTTCAGAGGCTACAGTACGCTCGTGTCCGCAACACAAGAGGGCTGAAAGAGGCAGGCAGAAATAAGGGAAGGTATGAAGTAGATACTCACTTTGCAGTTAAGATTTTATGATCAACATCATCTAGAGAGGAGCTGTGAGCAACATGAAATGTTCCAAACAGGGTGTTTCGCTTCTTTTTAATTTTTTCAGCCTGGAACATCAACAGAAAAAGGTCACAGGAAGAAGACGACCTTGTGTTTCCTCCAGGACAAGAACATCCTGGATGGGCCGAGACAGAAACAGTCCCTGCAGCTGTCTGCACACGTGCAAACGGGGTTTTGCTGAAGGGAACTGTTACCCTTCCTAACACAGCGGGTGAGGAGTTTGCCAGCAGCGAGTGAGCAGGTTGGGGGTTTCATGCTCCTCCTTGGCCCTTCTCCTGACTTCCCAAGAGTCAAAGGGAACTGAACCAGCTACTTCATGCAGCAAATGGCTCTTGTTTTGTCTTTCCCGTGAGTAAACTATCAGAGAAACACTGTTAATGCCCCAGGGTTGGTGGTTTGGAGGTTTTTCTGTTTTGGGGTTGGGGTTCTTTTGCCTTCCCTTTGTGGCACAGCGTAGACTCAAACATAAAGTCTCCACACACAGCGCTCTGGTTCCCAGATCCAGTGGCATGACTACAAACCAAGGGTGTGGGCATGAGAACTGACACAGCAAAAAAAAACCCCATTGAAATGTTAAAATGTTCACAACAAAAACATATTATGGCAGACAGATTTTTCTGTGCTGCCAGCTCTGACTGCTGTGAACGTCCACAGAGACAAGCACATGTTACAACAGCTTCCCTGCAGCTCATCGCTTTTTGGTTGGCACAGGAGATTTAAAACAACTGGGAATCCAGAAATGATTCATCCCCACAGATCGCATGCACACGTTTGGAATTCTGTTGCCTGCGCACGTCCATCACCTGGAGCAGGGATGAGGCTTAGCTGGCGCAAAACCTCCCGCTCCCTGACTGCGCAGGCAGCAGCTCACCCCCTGCCCCTTCCCTGCGCTCCAGCCCAGACACAGCCGAGAGGGGATCACCGATTGGGGTTTTCAGCCCCTCCTCACACCTCTGGGAAGGTTTGTGCTGAGCTTGAAACAAACGCAAACTTAAGGCACTCCAAAGGAAATAAAGAAGGTGCAGAGAAGCCAACTCCGCGGGTTTCGCTCCCCAAACCTTTCCCCACGGCTGCGAGGGGAAGACCCGGGACAAGATGCTGAAAACTCTCACCCCTTCCTTGGCCACCAGCAGCTGCTTCTCCGCGTTCTGCTTCTTGATGTTGTAGTACTGGACCTCCACCTCGTGGGTCAGCTGGAGCCATTTCTGCAGGGCCTCGGGCGCAGCCCAGCTGCAGTGGGACTCCAGCTCCTTCTCGGCGTTCTTGAGCGCCATCCGCACCTGGGGGAGAACAGGCCGGCGCTGCAGTGAGGCCAGCACAGCTGCTGGCTGCCACCCCCCCAGCAAATGAGAAAAAAAAAAAAGCCTCCACACAACTTCATCTTACTCGTGACAGAAGCGAAAGTCACAAGGAGGAGAGGTGGCACCCTGGTGCTGCAGGGATGCAGGGCAGCTGCCTGACAGACAAGGCGGCTGCTGGGGTGACCAGAACCCCCCCCGGTGTCCCCCCTTCACCCTCACACATTGCCAGCCACCAGCACGCCGCCCTGCCCCAGCCCTCGGGGAGCAGAGGCAGAGCGTGTGCTCGTCGCTGACCCGCTCGACCCCTTCCCACCCGCCCCTCTGCCTCACAACGGCACAAGCTGCAGGTGGCACGCACGGGGGAGGTAAAGGAGAGGTAGACTTTAGGGAAGGATATTCGGGGTGCTTGTTGTAGCCTCTAGAAACCTCTGCAGATTTTTCTGCCTGCCTGCGGGTCTGCAAAGCCCCCAGATTCTCCTCCTGAGGCAGAATCGCTGACAGCTCTGAGCAGGCAAATCGCCTTTTCCCACTGCAGCTCCTGAGCCAAACAGAGGGAGCCTGTCAAGAGACAACTTTCACACTGGAGCAAGATGGTAAAAATATTTAGACACAAAACATGTGCTGCTTGGTCAGGAAAAAAAATAACACGTCTGGAATCAGCAGTAGCTTTCTGGGGGACTTCTCCTTCCACCCCAGCTCAGTCTCCTCCACACACCATCGGTCTGCTCTCCTCCACACACTTATCTTGCTGGAGAAGGGAGCGATTACAAAATTAGAAGAAAGTGGGTGACAAGCAAGTTGAAGATACCAAAACCTTACATAAAAGCACTGCTAGGGACCATCAAGAATTCACACTTCTGTTCCACTGCACACGGTGTGGAGAGGGACGAATACACCTGCAGCCTGCCATGAGGCAACGTGTCCCAGAGCGGAGGAGCCGACGGCTGGAGACTGCAGCTGGGAGGAGCCTTCAGCCACAGCCCCTCGCTGCTCCGGAGGGGTACACGTGGCTGGAGGCCCTACTACAGGCTTCCCCGCTGGTAAAATAAAAGCCAGCCCTAAGCACCTTCAAGAGCTTTCTCTGCCCAGCCAGCGCCGGCCCACCGACGCAGAGCCTGGGCCAGCAGAGGTGGAGCTGGGAGGAAAGGTCCAGCTCCGGCATGGCCACGCCTGGATGATGTCTGGCCCATTTTCTCTTTCTTTTTTCTCAAGGGCCCAGGTCTAAGGAAGGCGGAGGCAGTGGGAGCGTGTCCAGCGACCTGCCCGGGCCCTGCACAGACCCTGCCCAACGCCAGCACACGCTTCCCACCACCACATTTACACCCACCCTTGCCTGGTGCCGCTGCCTCTTCGCTTCCCACAGAGCAGAGCCACAAGCGGACTCAAGACAAGCATTTTTTTTTTTTAAAAAGATTGCTCAAACTTGGATCTTTTCCCTTAACGTGTTATTTAAGTCAGTCGTGTCTCACCAAGTCTGGCACAGGCGTTTTCTAGCGAGCCAAAAGCACCGGGTTAGAGGCAGATGTTTTGAAATCCCGTATTTTACCCTGGAGGACGTTTGCACAGTCCATCCGGAAGCAGCCACAAGACACTGCACGGAAGAGGTCAACTACTTTTATCACCTACACGTGATACAGTCTTGCTGAGCACAGCATTGCCTAAATTGTTCCCAAAGTCACAAATTCCTAATCGCAGACCCCAGGAAGGTCTATTTTTTCCCCTCTTTCATCGGCAGCACCAGGCACTGCTCCCAGCACAGGCAGAACTTTGAGCATGATCTGCAAGTGTCTGGGATTTAGGAATGCGGAGAATAAGCGGGCAGGAAATCTCTCACTGGGTATTTGGGGTAGAGGAGCACTCAGGGAGCAACGTTTCTATGGAATGGTGGAAAAGGGAAGCGGTGCAGAACAACAGCCAAGGGCCAGTGGTTGAGATGAGCCATTATACTGCAGCATCCAGAACACAACATCCCCTCTCAGGGCAATCAGTAAAAACCAGAGTTACTTTGCGTGTCTGCGTTCTCCTGGGAAGATTTCGAAGATCTCATTTTGATCACCAAGAGCAGCAATTGATAAAGCGAGGAGCGCCCTGGGGGTCTGTGGCCCCGGGGGGGCTGTGGGGGGATGATGGAGTGAGGAGGGAGGATCTGTCTGAACAGCCCAGTACGGGGCAGCCTGAAATACGCTGCTTCTCCATCTCAAAGGCCCGGCAGGAACTTCCAAACCCTCCAGTATTGTTTGAGTGATCAGAATCGACTGGTGCAAAAGGTTTTGTTTTAGTACTCCCTGGGACCCAAGAATATCTTGAAATCGGATGAGTTCTACGGTCAGTGGGGGTGACTGGTTAATGTTGTCTGTGCCCTACAGCTCGCCGGGACGGTGATCGTGTTATATCACACAGTGTGGGTCAGGTGGGTAAAACCAATACTCACCCTGGCAACGCATCCCTCCCGAAGGCCTCTGAGAAACAACAGAGCAGTTCAGTCACCTCTTTCTGGGCTTCTTACCAAGCGTAAAGGGAAGGGGAAGCAGAATGGATGAGACTCTGCCTCCTCCAAACGCCAGGAACAGGTCGGGGACGAGGGCTCAGGGTTACCAGAGGAAGGCTACACATCCTTATTTCATGGCCCACGGGACAAAGTGCCCCGATTTCCGTCTGTGTGCGTACAGAGACACCAGCGTGTGTGCTGGAACGCAGCTCAGGGACTCTGCTGAGGGGCTGTAGGACCCGTTGGGAGGAATGGGGCTACGTGGGGACAGGGAGACTCCACAGAGAGACCTGGATCGGTGCCCAACGTCAGCGGGATGGGCATCAACAAGGGCAAGTGCCAGGTCCTGCCCTTGGGCCACAACCACCCCCTGCGTGGCTACCGGCTCGGGGAGGGGTGGCTGGAGCTGTCTGGGGGAGAAGGGTCTGGGGGTTCTCACTGACCAGCACCTGAACAGGAGCCAGCAGCGTGCCCGGGGGCCAAGAAAGCCAACAGCCTCCTGGCTGGATCAGCACTGGTGTGACCAGCAGGAGCAGGGAGATGACAGTCCCCTGTGCTCGGCACTGGGGAGGCCACACCTGGAGGGTTGTGTCCAGGTTTGGGCACCTCAACCCCAGAGAGATCTGGAGGGGCTGGAGCGAGGGCAGAGGAGGGCAGCGAGGCTGGGGAAGGGCTGGAGAATCAATCCTGTGAGGAGCCAGGGAAGGAGCTGGGAGTGTTCAGGGTGAGGAGGACGAGGCTGAGGGGAGCCCTCATCCCTCTCTGCAGCTCCTGACAGGACATTGCAGAGAGGCTGGGGCTGGGCTCTGCTCCCAGGGGATCAGGGACAGGACAAGAGGGAACGGCTGGAAACTGCCCCAGGGGAGGGTCAGGCTGGGCAGGAGGAGAAAATGTTTCCCAGCAAGAGTGGTGCTGGAGTGGAACAGGCTGCCCAGGGAGGGGGGAGTCCCCATCCCTGGGGGG